CTCTCGCTTGCTGGGCAGCTTCAGGCACCCCCGGCAGATTTCTCCAAACTCTCCTGCACAGCGGAGAGAGGAGTCAGGCGGCATTCCCGGCGGGACATTCCTCACAGCCCCGCTGCTCGGTGCCGTGCCTCCCCCAAGGACCCCCTGCACCCGCACCCCTCCTTGGCGCCATCCCGCTGCCATTTCCAGACCGCGGGAGGAGCTGCCTGCCAGCCGACTCCACGGCTTCCGAGCCCTCGCAACGCACCATGAAGACATATACGTGTATATACGCACACACCCGCTGCAAAGCAAGGGGCGACAGCCCTGGGCAGTCAGCTTCCCCTTGGGGGTGTTTGCTTTGCTTTGGGGCCACAAAGCGCGTTTCTGTAGCACCGGTGATGTCTCGCTGGGCGCGGGGCCGGGGGGCTCCTGCAGCCTTTGAGGCAGAGCACCCTGCTCCCCGCTTGACAACAGGAGCCACCAAATTTGTAACGCGAGGCCAACAACGGCTTTACAGCAAAAAACACATAGCTATGAAAGGCTTTACCGATCTGAAAGCCGTGGGCTTGCTGGGCCAGCAGGGAGACAGACGCGCTCCCAAACCCTTTCTATTTAAACATCGTCCTGACTAACGTTTCTTGATCTTTCAAACACCAATTTGCTTCCGAACAATCCGTGGGATTAGTGTCAGCCTCTCCGCTCAGCCCTACAAAGATAACCTCCTCTTCCCCTCTCGCCTTCAGCACTGTCCTTCGAGCTGCTGGGCAAGCCCCCCCCCGCCTTCCCTTTCTCCACTGCTGCTTTTTCTGCAGCTGAATTTATCTTTAGGAAAAGAAACGACAAAGAATAATCGTGTTTTCCGTGTTCTGGCACACATTAGCGATTAAGGCTCTAGGGCCCAGCGAGGGGATTTTAATTTGCTTTTAAGTTTTAGGCAGTGAAGTTGATGAAAATCAATAAATCCTTAGGTTCACATATTTATAAATAGTTTTCACGCCGCTGTCAAACTGCCCAGATGCAGATAATTGCTGATGCTTTCTGGTCCGCGCCTCGCTCCGTCGGCTCTGCTCAGTGCCCCAGAAAAACAAACAGGACTGCGAAATCGCGCTCCCGAGCAAAATGCTCACCAGTCCCGCGCCCGTCTCCCTGCTGCGAGCACGCACCCCCCAGGACAAGAGCAAGAGCAAGGGTCCGTGGCGCCAGCAGGCCAGAGGAC